ACTTAAGATATCAGAATGTTGTTTTCTGTTTGTGTTTTGTTTTGTGTGTTGACATGGTTACAAATGTTATGCTGAACCAAAAATTACCCCTTGGGCTTATATTGAACTTTAATTAATTCATATAAAACAAGTACGGTATTTGACGCTTAGGTTTTCAACTAAAAACGGAAAACTTTTTATATGTTTTGGTCGTTCATTTACAGTACATAACAGCGCTTTGGCGGCCTGAAAACAAAAGTTTTGAAAACGGGTTTTAAAAGTGCAAGTTTTTGAAAACAATACAGTTATTGTCTCTGTGCAAATTTGTAAAAAAAAAAAAAAAAAAAAACTGAGACGTCGCGCATTATACGTGTTCAGTCCATAGTACTTTTTTTTTTTACAAAGTGACATCGCCAACTACTGGTCTGGCAGGCATTTTACAGCGTTTTAAATCGTTTTTGTGGATCAGTGTGAACGGGGATTGCTTTAACAACGTTGTCGCCTATTACACAAAATACGCTAAGGAAAAACGTTTCTGTTTTTAGTAAACGCTGTCATGTAAATGTGCTCTTAGTGTGAGGCATCAGATGTAAAACTGTGGATTTTGATGATTCATTTCTAAAGACTGCAGTCTGTCAATACACCCTTTCCTTCACTGTTGGCATAATTACTGGTTTAGCCTTGTGAGTTTGTGACACCAGCGCCCCATAAGTGCTGATAATGGCAGCTTCAGCATTCCACAGGGGCTATAAGCTACAGCTGGAGCCTCAAGGCTGACTGGAGAACTGGCCAAGTACACACAGCCTCCCTGCACAACCATTTCCATTGCGTTTTTATTATGTCTGTGTGTTTTGAGGAATGGATCTGTCAGGTCATGTATTTTATCACCTTATGAAAACATCTTGGGGCAGTTGGCATTTAAGCGCTCTTAAGGGAACTTCGCCTTATCTAGATTGCAAATGATGTGGTTTGAATTTTGTGGCAATCGTTTGTAAGTTGGTGTCTGCCTTTGTAAATCAACATTAGAAAATATCCAACAGCTTGAACACACAACATTGTTCTAACTCATATCACTAATATTGCTCATACTTATGGTTAGGGATTTGAACAAACTGTTAAATTTAAGTATTATATTTTTGTGTATAACTTGTTCCACACTGTTCATATTACGGACTTGAAATGAAAAATCAAAATGTGAGACTTACATTTTGTTCAATACTTTGAGGCTGGTAAGATTTTATTTAATGTTTTTGAAAGTCTCTCACCACAGCCACAGTTATTGTGTATATTGTGAAATATTATTAAAATTTAAAATAACAGTTTTCTATTTTTATACATTGCAAAGTGGAATTTATTTCAGTGATGCAAAGCTGAATTTTCAGCATCATTATTCAAGTTTTCATTGTCAAATAATCCCTCAGAAATCATTCTAATATGCTGATATGGTGCTGAAAACATTTCTTATTATAATTAATATTGAAAACACTTGTGCTACTTATATTTTAGGATTGTTTGATAAAATATATAAAGAAAAACATTTTATTTGAAGTAGATTTTATTTGCCTTTCTTTTGATTAATTTAATGTATCCTTGCTAAATAAAAATCTTACTTAGATCTTAAATCTACAAATTCTGAAGCAGTAATATATATATATATATATATATATATATATATATATATATACATTTTTTTAGTCTATTCAGCTTGTTTTATTTTGCTAATGACATAAAGTGAACCAGGACTTTGTGAGGTTTATTTTGTAATAATTAATTTAAATAAAAAAATCTAACCAAAAAATGTATTAAAACATCCCAGCATCGCTTAGCAACACCCTGCTTCATGGCGGTTTTCAATTTTCAAGTCAGCATTTCTTCAAAACAATATTCAAAATCTATTTCTTAATTCTAGCACTTTTTTAAAACATAATTCCCATAATGCACTACTCCTTATGTTAAACTCAAGTTTTCTAGCATCAAGTAGTAAGAGCATTATTTAGTCTAAAGACCCTCATACTTTCATAATATCTCCACAATCAGAAAGGAAGGAACTCAAGAAGGGTTGTGAAAGTGCTCAAGATTTTTCATCTCTCAACGATGCTTGGCTGCTGTGGTGTTGAACTGTTTATGTAATCCCCCCAGCCATCACTCCTCCCAGCCTTTTAGTCCCACTCACTCTGGTTTAAACCTTGTACACCCTTCTTCCCCCTCTTTTAGCATGGGGAAGAACACTGAGGCCTTGTCCTGGTCCAGGCTTGGGGTTCCGGGACGGGTGCCGACCACGGAGGGACCACGTCAGTTTCCCCCGAGCCATTTCCTGTCTTAACCCTCCCATCTAATACCAAACAGACCTCATTCTCCTTGCGTTCCCCAACAGGACTGAGCCAACGGGCGTGCCAAAACCCTCCGTGCTCTTTGCAGTTATCAAAAACATCAGAAAACAGAAAATGTCTGCGTGGAGTGTATCACCAGCTACTCTTTCATCTTATATTTGTTGAGGGAAATGACTTCTGCTATATATGGGTGTGGCAGTTTCTCACAAAAATTGTATGTATTTGTTTGTCATATAAGAGAGTGGAGGCTTTACCTGCAGGGAAATGTCCTTGGTTCCTGGAATTCTCTAGCACATATTTGTGCATCAAAACATTGCTTTCCTATCCCAATTCTTATTTTCAAAGACTTAAGTGGCATGTTGACATTCCAACATGTTGCTCTTTTCCAAATGCAAAAAAAAAAAAAAAGATCACTGGCTGGTCAGTCACAATTTTGTTTAGCTGCCTGAAAATGAAAGTAATTGAAAATTCTTTGCATTTATGGTGCTTTCATGTAGTTGTTTTTTTTTTTAAGTTAAAACAAAATGTTTAAATATATTTGTTTTAACTTTTTTTCATTACTTGGAAGGTTCTATATATTTTAATACAGAAAATTAAACATACAAACATCTCATCCAAAAGTTTCCTCTAAGTAATTATATAATTATTGTATTTTTAACGAATGAATAGGTAAGATGAAAAAACAGCTTGACTATACTGGTCTGCAGATTCAACAGAGCCCTATTGAACCCTCTCCAGGAATACTTGGCATTCGTCTCAGCACATGGTATTTTTTATGCAATAGAATTAGGCAATTCACTATCTTGCTCCTGTTGCAGCATTTGAAATAGCTTATTCTTTGCAGCTGCAATTATCTCAGTCAATTATCAGATTAGCTGTTGGCTGGAAAACTAGTGACTTCTCTATAGGAAAATTGGTCTCAATTAAAGACCTACTGTAAAAGGAGACTCTACAGTGGCAAACATCATTGGCGTACATCCCTACAGCTCACAGCATTAGTCAATTATATTTGGTTCAATTGGTTAAAGCTTTTTTTACTCTGTATAGAATCCATATAAAACGTAAAAGAAAAGAAAGATAGATAGATAGATAGATAGATAGATAGATAGATAGATAGATAGATAGATAGATAGATAGATAGATAGATAGATAGATAGATAGATAGATAGATAGATAGATGGGTAGGTAGGTAGGTAGGTAGGTAGGACGGTCTATGCTCCACATCTCAAGAGGGGTTAACTAAAGCATGACTTTGTTTTCATGCACATTCATCAGCTAACACACCTGGTGAGCTTTATCACCTCATTTCACCTCAGTTATGGTCTCAACAGACAAGCTAGATCTTGCCTGTAATATCCTCCTCTCTCCACCACCCATTACAACAACTTTCTCACAAACACGTTTGTGTATCTTTAGATCTAATGGTCTGCTTTTGACAAATTTGCCATTGATAAGTGCTCATCCCCTCGTTCGCTAAGCCAAGTAATTTACTCCTCTGTGTTAAAAGGGAGCACTGGGTTTATGTAGGACAGGTCCAACCAGCCTTGGCCTCCCACTGGTCTGTCTCCAGTTTTGCTCCCCCATGCTCCCTACTGGCTTTGAAGAGCCGCTGCACTGGAGTGTAAATCAGCCCATGGGACAGGTGGAGATCTGCCAGCTGTGTGGAGATCCAGGCAGGGATGTCATAGGAGATGGAATGCTTTGGTAAAAACCACTGGATCTTCTCTAAAAGTGGAGAGAGAGGTCGAAAGTAATTGAATTGGACGAACATCATTCATGTTCTCTATTACATGATGCAAATGTGTGCCTGACGGATAACAATAACAAGTGGATTTTCCGGGGGGAAAAAATGGGTGTGGTGCTTGTAGAAAGTGTTGTAGTTATCGAATCCGGACAAGACCTGACTCGGACCATCTAAAGTCCAAATTCAAAACCATATTTTTGTGAATAGTCAAGATCAGCTTATTTCAGTCAAGAGTCCAGGCCGAGTCCAAAAGCTCCTAAAAATATTGTCTAGGACTTGAGTTTGAGTTCGAGTCAGGTCTTATCCAGACTCGAGTACCACAACTTTCGCCATGACCTAACCTTAAAGGGGTGAGGAACTGAGAAATCAAATTTTCCTTGAGCTTTTGACATCTAAGAGGTCATTACATTATAAATGTTTTTTTACTGTCACTTCTGATCATTTTAATGCATCTTAGCTAGATAAAATGATTAACTCCGATTCATTCAATTCTACTGACTTTTGAATGTATTTAAAACGCAGTGGATGTATTATTAACATGTTATCTTAGGCTTTTACTCATTTACTCAGCTTAGATTTGGTGTTGTGTGTTTTAAGAGACTGATTTTTTTTTTTTTTTTTTTGAAAACAGTAGATTCAAGTGTTCTGTACTGTGAACTGCTTTCAATTATGATTAGCTGGCAGCTTGGCGAGCTACAATTTCAAAGTAGCTTCCCCAACACTGAAGCAAACTCTCCCCTCTCAAAGGCTCTTTTATTCTTCTGTTCTGTCATGTTTTATTCAGTGTGGAAAATCTTAGTTAATTGGTCTAAAGTTGGCTTTTCATGGCTGTTTCCTTAACAACAGGGGAAAGACCCTTTCTCCCTCCTTTTTCTTCTTCCCCAAACCCTGCCCATTTAAGGCCGGACCTCGTTTTTCCCTTTTCCTCCCTCTCCCTCTCTCCCTCTCTTTCCATGTCTTTCTCTCTTCTGCGTGTGAGGACTGTGTGACAGCTTTTCCTGCTGCTCGTAGTGAACGGCTGAAAGGGAGGGAACACACGGCAGCTTGTAATGCGAACTAACCAGAGGCAAACGTACGTACTACCGAGCGGTCATTGGACGGGGCTTTAAAGACTCTTCTCAGTTTGGCCTGTGTAAGGTATTGATGCCATCAGCTCTGGATTAAACTTCCCAAGAAGTCTGATGCAGTGTGTGATGCTGTACGAGAACAACTTTGAGACTTTTATGTGGTGAGTTTCTGACTTTTCAGCATGCCATATTTAGTGATATTAGCTGGTTCAACTTTAGTAAACCTGTTGCACTGTATGTAGAGAAATTGTTCTCTGAAAAAAACAAAAACATTTTTGTCTTGTTTTTCAGCCAAAAATATGTAAATATCCTTAAAAGATATATTTACTTGAAGACTAAGACTATTTTAAGTCAAATTAAGTTTATTTTCCCATTGTTGTTCTTGTTTTAAACATAAACCTCACTTTGTAAGATTAAAATAAAAAAATATGAATTAATTAATAATTTTCTATTATATTAGAGGATTTATTATATTAGAATTTTTTATTTATTTATATTTTTAGACTTTTTTTCTCCAAAAAACAAAATGAAGATACTATATTTTCAACTATTTTATAACTGAATTTGCATATTATTTATGTGTTTGTTTGTTTCTTTCTTTATTTTACATGAACATTTTATGAAAGTGATGCTGATTGTTGTAAATACTCCGGCACATGTTACATCTGTATGAGTTTATTGACTCATTTTCTCATGAATCATGTCCTGGAAGGTTATGATTTATGAATCCTCCAATCCGAGATGTCGCCTGTGCAGATGGAAGTTGTTTTAGATCATTTTGCACTCATTAAGAGTTTCCCTGCAGGAGAGTTCAAGTCCTGGACAGAAGCATCCTTAATTGAGTTACGTCGGGGCTAGAGCTGCAGCTGTAAATTGGTTAATGTTTTATCAATATAAAAATAAACACCCAGGCTCATTGTGTGCTTATCTGCGGGAAGGTCAATAATAATGTAACGTAACCAGGCAGTTGAGGTGAGGGCTTCATGCATGGCTGACGTGTTTCTTCAAACAAAAAGAGGTTTCCTGTATAGAGCCAAGTGAGTTGTTAAAAGCCCCTGTGTTTGCATGATACACCTTTTTAGTTATAAAATTACTGATAAATATACCTTTGACATTAACATTTCGCACCTTTGAACAGCTGATTGTTAAAGTCTTTGTTTGTTTTGGCATCCAATGTTAGTTTGATTTATATCCCAATAGAGAGATGTGCAAAACTCACAGCTGCTTTTTGTTTAGAGATGGCTGACTTGTGTTCAAATTCATTCAACCCTGCTCTGAGCATCTGATCTCTTCTGCTGTTTAGTGAGCCAGCTTATCTTCTTGAGTTAAGAGTCTAGAGATTTGGAGGAAGGCCAGAGGTCAATCCCTGATCTAACTTCATTGCTGTCATGACAACTCTCTGAATGTTTGTAATGGTAATGGCTATGACAATGTTGATATATTTGGTCTTGGCGGAATAGATATGCAACACTGCTGCTGCTGCTGTTGAGCAAGTACAGGACTTGCTACTGCCAATACAAGACACACTGCTGTGAGCATGTAAGACATGCTGGTGCTGTACAATATAGCATGCATAAATTACCCACAGCAGATCTATACAGATGGAGCTGGGGAAGGTGTAGGGTTTCTGAAAGTGCACTGAACTGCCAAGGCAAATGCTAACCAAGTATTTAAAAGTTTAGCACACAAGCTCATTGGTTACTGATACAGCAGAAACCAATCAGCTGTCCCCTATAGAGAAGTATGTGATTGCAAGTGTTTGAGTTAAGGACCTATTAGGCTGTGCCATCTGCGAGGTGGAAAGATAGACTAACACATACACAAAATATAGTGCTAATTCTGAGTAATCATAGAAAGCATTATAAACATTACATAAAAGTGGTTCCTATGACTTTTGATATTATATTATATTATAGCATTGCATGTATTGCATTGCACGTCTTCTTAATGCTTCTTAAGATTTTTCCTCTTGCAAGCTTTGTAAGAACAGACCAAAATGTATTTTCACATCACATTACTATAACATTTATTTTTATATTCACTGATCATCTTTACCTCCAAATCAAATATGACACTAAGAAATTGTTTTGTTATATATATATATATATATATATATATATATATATATATATATATATAAGAACATTCGACACACTTAGTCCTCAAATGTGTCAGTTCTGATAAAGACAGAATATGGGAGGATTTGGGCTCTGCGATACCTTATCTGATTTTGATTGATTTAATGGAATATTTACAGCGAAACTCCTTTTGCTCTGAGGGTTTGAAATGTTTAATGACTATGTCAGTGTGTGCTTTTAAACACCTCCCAAACATTCTTTCTCTCCCCCGTCTCGGTTTTTATGAGCTTGTGGATTTTGATTGAGAGAATAAATCCCCGAATCCAAATAATACAGCAAACCCCAGATAATATAGCACATAATCTCATCTGAGTGGTATGTATTCGTTCAGTTAATGCCATTGGTTTGATTTAAAAACACGCTGAGAGTGGCAATCTCGTTTTATGGAGCAATAATACAGTTAAGGGGAATTAGTAAAGCTGTTGAAATGAGACTGAACATTGCTGTGTACAAAGTTTAACATCATTCATTCTCTGGCTCTTCTATTTGGCATTTTCTTAAAGCTTTTTATTACATATAAATCCTATCCTGAGTACTTGTGCTAAAAGCTTTGATAAAACTCTATGGGCAGAATGGGGTTCACAATGCCCACCCACCCATGGGAAAGATAGACCACATGTTTTGCACCATACAGTAATCAGAGGGCCTGCGTAATGGATCCAGCATGTTTCTAGGGATCCGCAAAGGGCTTCAGGCTCAGATCGATCTGCAGATGAGATCATTGCTCTATTTGTGGAGCTTTGGAACTGGGATCACCTGAGGGTTAGTCGGCCCATCACCCACAGACTCTCTGTGCTTTCAAACTGAACCCAAACAAGCAGAAACAAGGCTGCAGATGCACGTGATTAATTAAATCTAAAGAACTCCCGCTCTCATTTTCATAATAGACCTCCTTGGGGGTTTAAATCTAAAACAAGTCTAAATTGCTTTTATTTTAGGGTTTAATGAATGGGTAGAGATTGTGTTGTGTTCTCACAAAGTACATTCTTATATTGAGTGTTTTGACCCTGTTGACCCTTGAGGTGGATAGAGGCCAAAGATTAGAGGATGTGAAAAGTGTTTTTCTACTCCGCATTTGCATGGAAAACTATTAAGGATCCATTGACATACACACACACACTCACATCTGGTCCACATTAACACCCAAGAGCACAGCCCTCATCCACAAAACCCCCACTGACAACATGGGCTGGCAAATATCCCCTCTGTTATATTAAGAACATTGAATGGTACCAAACACCCAACATAATAATGTGTCGAAGGGACTTTTAACTTTTAGTGGCATTATTGAAGTTTTGGACTGCATCCCAATTAATATACCGTGTTTACAGTACAGTACAGTATACAGAAATAGCTGTACTTTGGAGTATTATATATACAGTTTGTAAGTGTTGTAATGGCACTGCCATCTCATAAAATTGCGTCTTGTGTAAATATTAGCATTAAGCTAAATTCATTAGCCTTGAAATTCATCTCAGAACATGTCTGACCCACTCTATGTTATAATAGATTTAATTTACTTGTTAATTTATTTATAGTACTAAATTATACACTGCTGACAAGATCTTGACCAAAATTGATGCACCTCTTGATGGAAATAACATCACAACTTTTAGGTGCATCAATATTGGTTGAGATCGTTTCATGACAATGCAAGAGTCGCACTCTGTAAAGTTTATCCAGCACATTCCAAAGACTTTCAATGAATTTAAGTCACAGGTGCCAATTTATTTGTGAAAATTATTCTTCATGCTCCCTCCCAACCATTCTTCAGTTTGGAATATGGCCGTGATGTGTCTTCTTACATGGTTGTTTAAGAAATGAAAAGCTCCACACTCCAATTAGGGTTAGAAGAAGTGTTGTCAAATATGCTAGAAAAAGATTTTCAGGATTCTTTGATGAATAGAGTACAAAAGAACAGTATTTATTTGAAATAGAGATCTTTTGTAGCATTATTAATATATACTCTTTTTTTATCTTTTGATCCCACATTTTTAACAGTATTGCATATGTATTATTCAGTATATAGCTATTGATATGACTGGAGTGCATATTTTTTAACACATTTATCAGAAGAACTATTCGTTTGGAGGGGTAAAACTTTTTAATGAGAAAAAAAAAAGACCAATATATCACCAATATATATAGGAAATTCAACATATGAGCGTGTTTGGTGTTCGTTTAGTCTCCTCTTTCTCGGCTGGCATGCGTCTTTAGGGTCAACTCCATATTTGATGCAGGGGTCAAGAATCTGATGGCAACCACATGTCTGACTTGGCCCCAAATTAAATACTCCCCCCCTCAGTAAGAGCTACTGGCAGGAAACACAGTCCAAATGATTTGAACACAGTTTAATCTGCTGGATTCTCTGTCAAGAGAAACACGAAAAAAAGACAATCTAAACTGTTTTGGAAAAATGATGGTGAGATCCAGGGCTGTAAAGGAGCTCGAGCTATTTCACGTAGCGAATGCTTTTACCATACCACCCTCCTGAGTAGTTTAACAGGCCACACAGTCGGTAGAAATGTGTCCAAGTTTACTGGTTGGACTTGGACAGCTACCCTCACCTCAGAGGTTTTGGAAGTTACATTGAGCTGCTACCTTTGATTTGTTGAGACAATTCTGGGCATGGTTGGTGTTCAGGTGAATTTAAAACGAGACCCGAAGGGCTACTGGCTAACTAAGAGATTGCACTTATGCAATGCTTTTGGATGATTGTTTATGGAAAAATTCAAGATTATGAGGCATTTGGAGTTGTAGCGTTCTGCCAAACTCAAAAATAATGATAAAAGCATTGTTTCAAAGTTTCAAATGTACTTTCAGGGACACATTAGACCCCCCTCATTCCTTTTTCTAACATAACTGTTTATGGGATAAGAGGAAACATTTTCCTTCCTCTTTTTGTAAGGAACTTTTTATTTTAAAAGCACTCCTCGAAGCAACACCAGTCAAGTTAAAGTCATTTTTTACTGACAGCATAAAATAGTCATTAAGAGTATTTTGTAAATTGAGATTGCATCCTCTAGGCGAGACGCAATCCACAGCGAGACATAGAAATACAATTCAATTTAGATTTGAAGTTCTTTATTAGTAACCAAGCCCTTTGCCAAGAAGACCACAAGTGGTTCAATCACTATACCAGGAAATTCCAGTGGCTGAAAGAGCATTTCTAAGTATCAAAAATATCCATCTGCTTGTTTTGGCTGGCGGTGTGTCATATGAACGAAAAGGCTGCACTGGCTGCTCGAGCTGTTTTTCTTTTGAAGGATTCAGTTATAGCCTTTAATATCATGGAGTAAATTCTGTTCATGCTTTGTGATGATATTTTTGCGTACTTTACAATGAAGGAGTTGTTCAGTCAGGTTGTTTATGACTGATGTTTCCCTCATGGTCAAGACTGAAGCTTCTGTTCAATGACTGGCAGAATCGCTCCGCAGGTCACTTTGTCCCCCACAAATCATCCACTAACACTCTTTATTTGGACAGACAACTTAATGTGAAAAAAGAGGAACAAATCAGGGGGTGTTGTTGTTTACGTATTTGCACTAGGTCACAATTTTTCCTGTCGGATGGAGACAGATCCAGGGGAAGGAAATGCTATTGTGGTCTTCCTTAAGAATTATCACCAGATATGACAGTGTCTGGACTTCCTCCGTCTTTCCCATTCCTTTAAACAAACAATGTCTAGATTAAAATGAGAATTTCTGGCCAATTTGTAATTGGTTGTGTTTGTACTGGCATTCATTTGCACTTTCTTTATTAAATCAACTATTGAGTGTAGTGCTAAAAAACATTCACATATTAATGCATGGTTGCTTTATCTGGAATTCTACAACACTTTTCAACACTTTTGCCTGAGAAATGGACTGGGTAGACTCCATATTTTACATGAATTAGAATTAGAAAGGGGTCATGACATAGATTTTATATACCTTTGTAATGTTCCTTGAGGTTCATGTAAACAAAGCCCCTAACAGGGACAAATATGGAATATGAGAAAAAAAAAAGAAAAATTTTTTTTTCAAAGCTTTTGCGTTCTCTCGCAAAGATATTTGTGTTTTTTCGCCAAACCTTTTCAGCCTCTTGCAAACATATTTGTGTTCTCTTGCAAAACGTGTTGTGGTTTCGGACAAAAACTTAATGTAATACTTGAACAATAGAGTTGTTCACAGGGTTTTATTTGGACTTGGACTTAAAGAAATATGGTCGTTGCTTAGTTAAAGGAGTTCAGTAAAGTTGGCAATACATTCACAGATTTGAATATAATTGAGTTGGGCCAACTCCATTTTGAACAATTTAAATTGAGTTGGGCCAGCTCAATTTTGGAAAATTTTAATTTTAAATATTAATGATTGAGTTGAGCCAACTTAATTTTGAACGATTTAAATTGTGTTGTGCCAACACAATTTTTTGAATATTTTTATTCTAAATAGTAATTATTGAGTTGGTCCAATTTAATTTTGGAAAATTGTAATTCTAAATATTAATTATTGAGTTGAGCTATTTTTACAGTTGTATATTCAATCCTTAATGTGTACATCTGTACACTTGTCTGCTGCTTACTCCATCTATATGTGTATTACTTTCAGTTTTTTTTACCTTAAATCTATGAGCTTTCAAGAGTCAGCAAGATCCAAATCGGCACTGCAAACAAAGGGGCTTTACTAAACCAACTCGAACTTTCCCATTGAAAGAAACCTCTTGCTTTGCACATTTTTCACTCCATCTTCCTATACCATTTGGGCCAAATGTCTACAAACATAGCTTTATAGCACAAACTAAATAGGCTAGTACTTTTGTAGTGTATGAAGAATGTTTTCAAAAATGAACACAGAGGTTAATACCAAAATATTTATTCATGATGCTTCTGTTCAGGCAGTTCACACTGTGATTTGTTTTTTTAACTCAATTCACTAATGACTCATTCATCATGTGAATATCCATCGCAAACACGATTTATTGCATTTTCATTGGTGAAACGTGTATCTGTTTTAGGGTGTTCGATCTCAAGCCGATTTCCTGTGTGCACAGTGCAATCTTTCGCCTGTCATTTGCTTGTGCTGCAAATTCCTCAGTGATTTTAGATGTGATATGGTCTGACATCCGTGTGTGTGTGTGTGTTTCTCATTGTATAGACGACGGCCCAAGATATTCAGAGGACACGGGCAGAACCAGAGTGAGAAACTTGATCCATATGAAACAACAGTGCACCATGAGGAGGAACTGACTGCTTTATATGGTATAGTAAATCTTAGTGCTTTTCTTTGTAGGCTATAGATCTATGTTTTCTTTCTGTTTTTGTTTTTCTTTGTTGTGCTTTAATTTGCTTTTCTTACAACTGTAAAAGGTATGCTTATAAAAATATAAACAACTATTTATTATTCCACAATAATACAAATGCAACAAATGTTTTAGAATTACTAATGTACTAAAGAATTTCACTCGATTAAATTAAGTAATGGCATTTCCTATAGGACTTTCTTTTGTGGAACAAAAACAAGGCCTTTCGAAGATATCAACATTTTCATTGAAAAACAGCTTCAATTTGGTTCGGTCATCAACCAAAACTGCTATAGGGCATACTTTATTGAGCTTGAAAAGTTATACCTTCTGAAAGCCAAGCTGTTAAAGTTAAGATAATGGGTAATATCTTATACAAGTGCATTTGAATCTCTGAGTGTATCCAGCAATGATGTGAACAATAGTGAAAGAGAAAGGCCAAAGTCAGCAGGAAGTTCTGTATGAATGTAGTGGATTGGATTTTTTCCTTTAAAAGAGCAGGGGGTGGACACAGGAAGTGTGGTAAGATCCAGCAGGCGCACATGACCCCAGGCCTTCATGTTTTCTGTGGCGCCTGCTATGCAGGGTGTTTTGAACCAGGCGCAGAACTGTCATAGGGAGGATATATTTGTTTGAGGTTGTAAATATAACCTCTTTAAACTCTTGCCCTCATACTGTATGTGAGGGTGTGGCAGCATTTGTTGACCCCTGGAAAATGAGTCTTCCTTAGGAGTTCACAGTTAGAAGGGAAAAGAGTCAGAGAGGAAATACACTACGGATACACACTACAGGAAAGGAAAAGGCTCTAGATGCACGTCATTAGGGAGGAGAATTGTATCATGGACTTTATTCAGATACTAAAGAATCTGACTACTGGCTACACTCCATTTAATGGAGAAGGAAATGGGCCTCACTTGCTGCTGGCAATTCTAACCTTTTGACCTCACAAAAGGGGCTCACATGGATTGACTGTTGACTTGTTCAGTATATTTTTAGTGTGTATACTGTGTCTCATAGTGCCCGAGAATTATGTGATTAATGCTCAGTATGATTATTCAGACACCGTCCTCTTTTTTGGTGGACACAGAAGCTTGACATTTGGCCTAGTTTTTGTTAGTGCTGAAATTCATTTCGAGTTTTGTATTCTGAATTTTTTGAAAAAGTACTGCAATTTTATAATATATAATATTTACAGCTAATTTTACCTCTAAGAAAATCTAAATAAACACCACAAAAATGTTGTTTTTGTGGTGTTTATTGAGTTGAGTTGGCCCAACTCAATTTAAATTGTTCAAAATTAAGTAGGCCCAACTCAATAATTAATATTTAGAATTAAAAAAAAAAAAAATTAGTTGGCACAGCACAATTTAAATTGTTCAAAATTAAGTTGGCCCAACTCAATAAATGTTCCAAAATTGAGTTGGCCCAAAAAAATACACCACAAAAATGTTGTTTTTGTCAGAAAACACCCAGAATACATTAGAAGCATGTGCTAAAAGATGCACTGCTCATGTTTAATATGTATTAATTTCCTTTTTTTATCCAGTAGGTTTGGAAACACAGGACAAAGCCAGGATGAATGTGAAAAGGAAGGAGATGGATTTCTTGAGCAACACCATTGCTGCTTATGCTCACATTAAAGGTCAGTGCTTTCCCCGTTTTTAATATTTTTAACACGCAACTCAGGTTTAAAGAACAGCAAACTGATATAAACCTGGCTTGTTTCCCTCTCCATCCAGCAAATCCAGAGAGTTTCGGCCTTTACTTTGTCATCGGCGTCTGTTTTGGCCTGGTGCTCACTCTCTGCCTCCTGGTCATCCGGATTTCCTGCAAGCCTCGTGCCACTACGGCACCCTCCACTCCGGAGAAAAAACAGCTGAAAGAATACAGTGAGGAGGAAGAGGAAGACGAGGAGAGTGATGATGATGAGGAGGAGGAAGATGCAGGAGGCCTGGAGTCTTCGGTCCGACACAGCACCACAGAGATCCCCATGAGCAACCACCTCATCACGCCAGATGGGACTCTGAGCAGGAACGTGTTCACCTCAGCCGAAGAGCTGGAGCGGGCACAGCGATTGGAGGAAAGGGAGAGGATCATCAGGGAGATTTGGAGAAATGGGCAGCCGGATATCCTGGGAACAGGCACGGGCACTATTGGAAGAGTGCACTACTATTAATGGTCCCAGAGACTCCTGGGCATAAACTCAAGCCATTTCACTGCTTGAGTGCAGTACTTTTAAAGACTGTTAGTGGATGGTGTTTCAATTATATATTTTTTATATGTTGGACTGATGTTATTGTAATCCTACAGACTATGGGTACAGCCGTTTTGTATGCAACATTTGGACTGGGAATGTTGCTATCAGACCCCCAAGTCATGGTGCTTATTGAAAAGTCATTCTGACTTTATTGTCTTTATTGTCTGAGAGTTGATGTTTAAAAAAAATATTTGTGAATTGCAGGTGATAATTAGAAGCTCACAGAAAGCAAATGCACTTTTGCACTATGCCATTTATTGTTTGTTTTCTGATGATTTTTTTGTCATTTAAAAAGATCCCCCATGTAAGTCACATCAAGCCTTAACTCAAAGATTGCCAAAGAATGCACAGATATTAAAATTCAACATCGACAAGATAATTATTTTCATGATTTAGTATTTTGTCTAAATAAAGAAAAAATAAAACATTATTTTATATGCTATTGCTTTAAATGCTATAATTGGAATGGGAATCACAACATTATAATGTACAATATGAAAATAGGATATTTACTTTGATATTTGATAAATATTACATTAAAGGTACACTATCTAACTTTTTTGTTCAAAATTAACTACATTTAAATGAGTCAATATTTTACATCAATCCTTCCTCCAAACTGTGTTTTTGGCTTATGGTAAGCGTTTTATAAGTGTATATATTTTAGACCTGTTGGAATGCTTTTCACAGGAAATTGTGTATTTATTACTGTACATCCCTAACGTCCTATACATGTTGTCTAAATGTGAATAGGTAAAAGTTGTTGGAGTGGCATAGGTTAGCTGTCACAATGAGTGAGAAAGGTTGACATGGAGCACACTAAATCTTTAAAAAACACGCAACAAAAGAGAATGCGACAGAGCATGTAAATAATAAAACGAGAATCAACATCGGCTTGGCTTTTCAGAGAACTGAGGGATTCGAAATGTAAAAGCGATGTGGAGATGATGGCGTTTTTATTACTTAACAGGTAAGCTATTTTATTGAACAGGTCCATCCTGAAACAACCATCCTGCTCAACATGGGTCATGCTCTCAGGATCTCAAGAAACGGCTATAGCAATCAGAAGATGCAGTTTAACACAATAAAGGGTTCATTTTCCAATCATTTACAATAAGACTCATATAGGCCTATATGGGTTATATATCAAATGGCATAATTGCACACCTGATTATTCAGATCTTCATGTATTTTTACAATAAATTAAATAGAAATACAGATTTTAAATTAAAATTAATGTTTTATGAACATCGTGTTTTTCACGTTCAAGTTATATATTTGCTCACCAAGTGGATATTATTGTATTATTGTTTCATTTCCAGTTCCAGTTCATTTTGATTTAGATATTGATATTTACAGGCATTGCAAACAAAATCCAGACAATTAAACCAAAGCGTAACAATAACTCTTAGTGCTTACGAAGAACCAGATGCTATAATATTTCTAATGAAACACTTTCTGTTTTTGTTTACATTTATGAAGTACATTCTGATATAAATATTTTATGAATACATTTAAACTTGTGAACTGCCAAAATGACACAATATGTATAGAACCCAAATAATATTAAGGACAAAACCTTTCAAACATACTGTATTTCTATTTGGAATTAGTCCATCTGTAATTAAAAAATGATTAGTCAGACTATGAAAATCTAATGTATTGCACATGGTTTCCAGATGCTATTTTCTGTCTGAAGGGACACTAAATCAGCCTTAGTCTCATGCTAATTCTCCAGGGAAATTAACTTTCAAATTCTTTTAGTGACAAAGCAAAGTCTATTCATTCCATTCACAAAGCAACTTTTAAATAGGATTTGCAGTGTTGTCAAAATTGACATGGAGCCAATTGTATTGTCTTGTGTCATTTCAAAAGATTTATTTTCCATCAGACCACTGCCCGGATGCTACTGGGCCGGTGTGATTTTCTATTGTTTTGGGTCGAGACACAGATAGTTGCGTGTTCTCAGTCAGTTAACACAGTCAGAGCGTAAAAATACGGGATATTTTTAGGGATCTCTGATGCGAAACAGACGTTTCGAAGCTTTGCGAGATCCCGAAGCGCAGATGATTCGAAACACTGATCCGAAGCGTGATTCAAAACACCTGTCACGTGACTACGGCTAAACGAAGCTTGTTTGGCCAAATTGATTAGTTAATTCAGGTGTGTCTGATTATAGTTGCCTTGACTACTGAGGTCAGACACACCTGAATTAATCAATTTGAATTAATCAAGTGCACAATGTCATTTGGGAGACCATCATTGAAACCGACGTTTTGCTAAAAACAGAGAACTATAGACAGATTTCGCCCTACTTGATCTCCAGAATTTCAATTACTAAATGTAACGGTGTACCTGCAGGCGCACTCAATGCCCTGAGCGCCAAACTGATCAGACACTATAGCAGAGCAACTCCTGAGGCCTTACAGGGTGAACTACTTAGCCTGGCTACGCACTGGGACAAGCTGAAGGTGTCTGTGCACGAAGAGTAACCTATCTGACCAACATGAGTACTGAGGATGGAGATGATGAGCAGAGTCCAGATGAAGAATGGGACGTTGTGAACAAAACCTGACAATCTTGCAGAAAATGTCCCATCTGTTGTTATGTCCTACAAGTGTGTAACCTGCTCACTGACTTCTACCATCTAATCGGACTTGGATAAGTTTCTGTTAATCTGTCTGTGACACAAGTTGCATGTGAGCGAAGCTTTTCCACGTTAAAATTCATCAAGAATCGATTAAGGAGCACAGCGGAGGAGCATCTTGAAGCCTTTATGTTGATGGCAATCGAAAAAGAGACTGGTTTCTTTGGACACGGATTGCATCATTGAAGAAGAGCGCGCTGATGCAATAAGGTAGGTCATGCTTCTTTTATCATAGGCTACCTGTATTTTCCGCACTATAAGGCGAAAAAATGTTCTAAAATGGGTCATTCGTTGATGGTGCGCCATAACCCGGTGCGGATTATATTTTTATATATTTTAAAACATTTTTCATATAGGGCCCACCGGATTATAAGGCACATAGGCTATTAGGTTTATCAAAACCTGGCCTAATAATTAATTAGCCTACTTTTAAACATTTATGTATATATATTTTTAGGTTTTTGTTTATATAATTTGTAGTTATTATTAGGCCCATTTATTTGCTCAATTTTACAGCAGTTTGTGTGTAAGGTTATAAGCCCATTTTAAATTTTTATTGTGCGCATTGAGCAAAAGTTCAGTTATCAAAATTCTGGCCTATATTTACTTTTAAAACTTTTATGTATATTTTTGTTTATGTAATTTTTATTCATATTATTATGCCCATTTATTCGTTTAATTTTACAGGACTTTTTGTGTAGTTAATACTACATTCCTGTGCTAGTCCTAATTTGTAATTGATCCATAAGGCGCTCCGGATTTATAAGGCGCACTGTCGTTTTTTGAGAAAATGAAAGGCTTTTAAGAGCGCCTTATAGTGCGGAAAATGCTGTGCCATGCTCGTGTGCGTGTGTTTTAGGCCGCTGTGCCATGCTCGTGTGCGTGTGTTTTTGGCCGCTGTGCCATGCTCCTGTGCGTGTGTTTTAGGCCGCTGTGCCATGCTCGTGTGCGTGTGTTTTAGGCCGCTGTGCCATGCTCGTGTGCGTGTGTTTTTGGCCGCTGTGCCATGCTCCTGTGCGTGTGTTTTAGGCCGCTGTGCCATGCTCGTGTGCGTGTGTTTTAGGCCGCTGTGCCATGCTCGTGTGCGTGTGTTTTTGGCCGCTGTGCCATGCTCGTGTGCGTGTGTTTTTGGCCGCTGTGCCATGCTCGTGTGCGTGTGTTTTAGGCCGCTGTGCCATGCTCGTGTGCGTGTGTTTTAGGCCGCTGTGCCATGCTCGTGTGCGTGTGTTTTTGGCCGCTGTGCCATGCTCGTGTGCGTGTGTTTTTGGCCGCTGTGCCATGCTCGTGTGCGTGTGTTTTAGGCCGCTGTGCCATGCTCGTGTGCGTGTGTTTTTGGCCGCTGTGCCATGCTCGTGTGCGTGTGTTTTTGGCCCCTGTGCCATGCTCGTGTGCGTGATGTGTTTTAGGCCGCTGTGCCATGCTCGTGTGCATGTGTTTTTGGCCACTGTGCCATGCTCGTAATGGACTAAAGTCTCCTCAGGCTTATATCATGACGTGTCGTTTATGCCTACAGACAGTGTGAAAGTCATTGCTGCCTTGTATGGTGTGTCTCAGTGGGAAAAAATGTAAAGATTCTGGGGACGTTTTTTTTTTTTTAACGTCATCAATTAATTGGGCCAGTGAAAACCACAAATGTCAGGGACGAATTTTGGTCCCAGTCCGGCCCTGTTATGGAACATTTTTTTTTTAACTTGGAATATTTTATTACTTTATGTTTAAGGTTGCTTACAGTGGCGGCTGGTGAAAATTATTGTAGGGGGGGCTGAATAAGAGGGGGGTCTGGGGGTTCCCCCCCATAAAATTTTGAATTTAGTAGATGTGATTTCCTGCATTCTGGTGCATTTTAGGCCTTAGGCCATGCCCTTACCTATACCAATAAAATAACTTAAACCAGTCAATACCAATGGTCAAATAATACAATAATAATAATTTGTTTGACAGTTTGACAGTTAATGATAATGAACAAGTTGCATGTTTATTATGCTCTGTGTGCTGACAGAAAAAGTGCAAACGCATAATATTGATAAATTATAATATAGGTAATACAAAAAATAATAGATAATACAACAATCTAGTTTAATCAATCCCCAGCTGTAGACTACATATTTTTGACAAATTGACAATTGGATAATGGATAACAATGTGTTGATACTAGAGAAAGAGAGAGAGAAAAGGCTCTGAAAAAGAGGGTGGGACAACGTTCTTGATTGTAACACCCAAGTATGAGAATAAAGTTGATTTTAACTAGTATGAAACACAGTAATCCAGCTCAGAACTTAAAAACAAAGCAAACACACAGGTATTAATATTCCTATAACTATTTTAATATCAAATGTGTGTGAAACAGTGTTTATGTGTGTGTGAGTGAGTGAGTGAGTGAGTGAGTGACGGAGACAGACAGATCAATTCCCACGACTAACTTTACATTATTTCCACTCGACGTCACTGGCGCTGCCATTCTGCTCTCACCTGAGGTAAAAAAATGTCCCGTGGTGCGCGTGCACGGTGCACTCCTCCCTAATCTGATACTGTGGGCGATATTTTCAGCGCCCCCAAACCATAAAATTTGACGGCTCTGATTGGCGAAATATAAACTTTTTTGCATAGCAACCGGGGAACCATTGGCTTAAATTCCAGCACTGTGGGGCTGAGCGAACTGGCGCCCTGAGAAGACACTACACCAACATGATAAAAGTAACGAAAGTGAATGCAAATATCATTCTGGTGAGTTCAAAACACCTTTCAAAGTAAAACCATTATTAGCATATAATTAACACAGATTATTTTTCAAAATTATAAATTATAATAATATATATTAAAAAAACAGACAGACAGGTCGGAGGGAGGGCGGCGCCCCAGCGCCCTCTATGGGCGAGCCGCCCCTGGTTGCTTACATTTAAATACCAAATCTGTATTTCTATGTAATTGATATCTTCCACTCCTGAAATAAAGCCATCTTGTTTCACAGATAAAACTAGTTGCATTCAAAAAGCACATCAACTCATGTTTATAATTTAAGTTTCTGAGTTTGACAAAGTCAAAAACATTTGACCATCAGCGGAATTATTTATTGATTTATTTTCTACAGAATACCACAAAACAGAAACATTATTAATAAAATGTGTTAATACGGTAAAATATGCCTAGTTTAACCGTGAATATCTTGAATATT